CATTAGACTCTTCATCTCTTTACCTTAAGGGCCAAGTCCTGCTGAGTCTTCATTGCCACCATGTACTTCCCTAAAGCTTTTTAGCATTCTGGAAAAGCAGGATATTTTTCTGAAGTAGTAGCAAATCTAAGCTTTTCTAGCACAGACCTCATTCATCCTAGCAGTTAGTCAGCTGATAACCTGAAGAACATCAGATGCCCAAACTCTGGCATCAGCATTAGGAGTAGGATTTAACTGTGACCTTGGGGTGATGGGTCTGAGGGATTCAGATCCTTCTGGAAGTCTCCCCAGCTAAAACAACGGTCAGAATACATCCAGATCTGAACTGGGGCCCCTATGCCACATTCCTCCTCCATCTGGAAGGCAGCCAGGACTGCTGTTTACCCATGCCATGTCACGGTCCCACCTCAGCTATCCTGTTTTCTCAGTGCACCTGCTATTTCTTGGCGGCAGCAGGCAAGAGCAAACGGAGAGAGGTGCAGAGGAACCCACGCCCGCAGTGCACACAGGCACAGCCAGCTGCCTCCGGATATTGCCACCTCCCTGGCTGACCCTGGGCCCGGGAGAGTTGCAGATTAACCTCCTGAAAGGTGACAATAGCTCTTTTCTCCAAGGCAGGAGTCATTCACCAGTGGGAGTCTGGAAGAAACACCCTCCCTGAGGATATTCCCCCGCATTACCCCAAATGTAATTTTGGAAAAGAGAACACGCTGCAGTATATCACTCTGCAGAGCCTTCAGCAGCAGACAGAGCTCATGCAGAAAGACCACAGGAGGTCTGGCATGGTATGGCCATTTCCTTCAGTGTTGCTAGATCTCATCATTATAATCAGTGCAATATGTTCACTGAGGTATTTCTCTTTGCTAGGAGAGACTTAGGGTTGTACCTCCCATCTTCAAGGATGGGTTATAGACATTTTAGGAGTAGATGTAGAATAGATGTTCAAGATTATCCAGAAGCACTGAAAGACCTTGCTGTCAAACTATAAGATGTTATCATCTCTGGTCCTCTCTACTTTCTTTTGCAAGGGGGTACTTTTTCCCATAAACCTGAGGAAATGAGCCCCAAATCCCCAGTTCACAGCCCAGCACAGCTGGCTTAAAATGTTTTTTGCATTAAGATTGCCAAGCAGTAAATTGGAACAACAGGTGTGGGTTTCTTCCATCTTAATGTTGTAACCCCTGTGCCAGAGATACTGCTCCTGTCTTAACCTGCTGCAAGCTGTTAGCTCCAGGAAGGCAAACTGCATCTCTAGACCTCTCGACAAAGCTATTCCTGCCCAAAATCAGCATTTACCCTTGTGTACTTGGCTTGCCAAGGCCATTCTTTTTTTCTGAATCAGGAGAAGAGAACTTGGCCTGTCCTACGCTGCCTGTGCAGGATCCACCATTCGCATGGCTCCATGCACAGCATTGCCCAAGAGCTGTACTGAAAGGGCTTGTTTGCAGGATCAAGGCTTCTCTGTGTGCTGAGAGCCATTGACTGACACAAGCTGACCAGAGGAGGATTATGACTCTCTACAGCTCAAGATGATTGTGTCTCCATCAGTGTAGCATAGCCTTGCACCGTGGCACTGCATCACTCCTCACCCCAGTGCCCGGGCACCTTCCCCTGTCCCAAGGCATTTCCATTTGCTGGTGTTAACCATTAACCAGCCCAGTGTTACCTGTCAGAGGCAGCTCTGTGCTGCCTGGTCAGCTAGTGCTCACAGAGCACTGCCCTATGAAACCATATCCACACAAAGCTCCGACCTCCACCGGTCTGAGCCTGCCAGGCCAAAGAGCAAAGCTGTGTTCACTTTCCCGCATCAAAACTCCCCTTGCAGGCAGCTGGGCTAAATCCTGAGGCTGGTGCTTAAGTTCTTACTGCTGCCAGTCATCCCTGCCTTGCTTAGATGCCATGGCTGGCTGAGATATACCTCTTGGGGGGATCTTTTCCCTCAGCAAAATATTAGCCCCAACAAGTGAGGTCCTTGCATGTATTATGGTTGATATACATGCATATGTATTGCTTTCTCATCTTTTGACCCATATCCAGGAGCACAGCAGATGAGAGAGTAATAAATTATAGCCCAGTCCTCCTCTATCATCAGATCTGTAGCAATCTGCCTGTAAGAGGCACTATATAGATTTGAATTTGGATGATTTTGTAGGGCAGAGAACTACATAAGCAAGGCTAATGAAGAATGTGTAGTAAAATGTCACATGCTTTGGTTGTGGCTCAGGGAAAGCTCTTCTGAAACATTCTCAGAAATTCATGCAGTGCTTTGGCTGCTACAAGTCAGGACATTTAACTTCAAGTAAGTAGTGATGGGTCTTTGCACTGGTGTCTTGAGCAGCTTGGGGGGCTTTTGGTCTCCTTCCCTTGCTTTTCCAAACCATGAGGCCCCTGCTGTGTTACCCCATCTGCAGGATTTAGCCCTTCTGTCTTCCTCCTGGAGCACCATACCTGAAAGCAGGGTGGAAATACCTTTGCAACGTGTCATTTTGCAAATACCTCCTTGGCAGAGCCTGTTTCCCCATGTGCAATGTTAACCTTGTCCACAGGCATGTGAGATCACTGAGGTAGATGTGGGCCATTACACTGCCAAACCTTGCTTTTGCACTTCAGCAGTGTCTTCCTCCCAGCAGCTTCTGATTTACCCCAGCATCAGCCTGTGACAATGTCTTCAGTGTCTTAGGCTTGCACTGGGACACTGGAAGCAGCCTCATATGTTATCTATATGCATGAAAATAAATTAAACCACAAGTTCTTTGAGCTCTGGGAATACCAAGTCAAGGCTTAGGACCAGAATATGAGTCCATCAGGTCGTACATATAAGAAAAATAGCTGGAACAGGAACTTCTCAGATCATGCTTCAGTTATGAAAGTCAGGCTATTCTGTTTTCCACCAGCACTGTGTTAAACTGCTTGGAAATAATGTTTTCTGCTCTATAACCCCATGGCATGACCAGAATTATCAGGAAGTAAAAGTGCCTGCAGCTCAGCACTAAATGAACCCATGTTTTATGACAAACATTTTCTTTTCCCTCAGCATTGACTGTTCTAAACTGCTTTACATATATTTCTACAGATTTGGGCTCCTTAAAAGCTCCCCAGGATTATTTACTACTTTTTCACTGTGGCGATAGAAAGGAGTGGAGACAGGCAGCTCAGACACCACCTGTGCATGAGCCTGATGTGCATTACCAAAGCTCTGGGTATAGGAATGACACACTTCATCCCTGAGCTCAAATTAAAGTAGCTGCAGCCATGGAAACTGGGTGGTTTACATCAGCATGTATCAGCACTGAAAAGGACCCAGACACACAGCGGATATGAATTAAGCCCTTGGTGCTGGGGATAATGACTTCATGTGGCAAAAGCAGAACCACAGTGCGATGGATTTTGGTGCCGATCCTCTGAAACCTCCAGGTGTCCTTACCCCATCTTCTTATGCCTCCCACCAGAACTGCTGATGTATAACCCTCACCGCTAGGCCAGCAGTGGGCTTGGGGTTGAATCCAAAGATAAAATGAGGCCCTGTCACAGGTCCCCAACTTCTGTGAAGACACAAAACATGGTTCCTGCAACAGAGGAGGACACTTAGCATGATGAAGTGAAGAGAATGAAAAATGAAAGGCAAAGACTGTTACAGGTTTTATGAGCTGTAGCCTGCTGTCATTAAGGGATAAATTGCTTGCTAAGAGTCAGTTTTGCATTTTCAACAATGAAACTAAGATCTCTGAAGTGTTCCTCAGATATGGGCACACCCAGGCTGAATGAACAGGTTCAACCCACACCCTGATTTGCAGCTATCTGTGATTAGTGATACACCAGTCTGTAGCTAATGTCACAGGTATTTTGGGCACTCTTCACATTACAGGTCCCTTAGGTCTAAGAGTGGTCAGTGAACAAGATCGGTGAAAACTCTTGGTTTAAACCTATTCTGACACCTGGTTTAGCTGATGAGCTGATCCATATCTATCTTCAGTTTGTGGGGGTTAATCTAAAAATTTAAGGAAATGACAAGAGAAGCTTGATGTGTAGGAAGGAAGGTTCCCAGTCCAGAGACACTGTTTAGTCTCCATCCTTGGAGATACAGCCGGACACAGTCCTGCATCCCTCAAAGACAGAGACACCAGCTGACAACAGGGTAAGAAGTCGTGCCTCCACCCCTCTCCAGCAAGGGATGTTCCCTCCACTTGCAGAGAGCAGCACCATGAAGATGCCAGGCAGGAGTGGCTGTGAATGAGAGAAGATGGTCTGTCTTCACGTTATCCACAGCCAGTGGCGTCCAGGGCAACTTTCAGAGGGAGTGGCTGCATACTACAGCCACCTTTCACAGATACTTTTTTCTTAACGATAAGCTACAATATTGTAATGAGTATCCACAGACAGCTTTCTGCTGCAGAAGGTGGCTACAGCAAACAGTGACAGCTTCGCTGGAGTTTTCTGGTTTATCATTACTTTTCTTCTGGGAGGACAACCCGGTTGCACACTCCAATGCTCTGTTACATCCCCATTTCAGCCAGTAATCTTGACAGAAATCCTCACCCCTGGTCCCCATCATCCTGAGCTGCCATACACCCAGGGCTCCAGCCTGCAAGCATAAGGGAGACCCAGCTTGGCCTCGCAAAGAGCGCGAGAGCAGGCTGTCTGCCCCAAGCGCCTCTTCCTTTGGACCAACTGTGCCAAAATTCGAGACAGAGCCAGGGACTGGAGCTGGGACTCTTGGGCCCAAGCGTTAACGTGGCACCGAGCAGCACTGCACCTCGCTGTGTCCAGCAGAGACAGAAAGAAGGGGGAACAAATCCTCCCTTGCCCTTTTAAATCTGGACAAAACAGGTTTCTAATTAAAGCAGCACTTAATCATTATTGCTCTGTGAATGCAGAGCTGGTGGATATTTGATGCAGAGAGTTGGTTGAAACTCTCTCATACCGGCTTTGTCCCTCTGTGAGTCTGGGAATGGGTGTGATCTCTGAGTAGGAGTGTCTCTGCGGTTAAGTAGAGGATTGAATTACCGAACACTGCTGTTCCGGAGCTGACAAGGTAGCAGAACAGCAAACAAAGTGCCTTGAAACTAGCTCACCAGAGAGGAGAGAAGGCGCTGGGCTTGGTGGAGAAGGGAGACCTGCGAGGACACCACACGCTTCCCAGCAAGGTAAGCAGCTTCCTTGCACCTCTCTTGGTTTTATTTCTGAAGGCCAGAACTCTTTAATGACTTTTGTTCTGGTGGGATAGTAAGAAACAAACAAAATAAACTAATAGATTTTTTTTTTTTAATTTGTCACCTGGTGTAAGCCAGGGTGTCTTTACTGAAAACAATGAGCCCATCCTGATTAACACTGTTTGGGGTTGGAAGAAGCATCTATCTCAGCTCTCCGAGAACCCGTCCGGGCTGTGTATCAGCTCGGAGAACACATGCTTTTCGTTTAGCTCTCTGTACAGACTGGCTTTGATTTCATGCAATAAGCAGTTAATGGCGTTTTGATTTGGTCTGGTTTGTTTTATGATTTGCTGTCATGGGGATTTGCTTAAAGCTTGCCAGCCTTTGAGACGCGTTTATGAGTCCAAGCAACAACAAAAAGTCGCTGGAAGTCTCATCGATAGGTCTTGTAGTCTGATCAATAGATCTGCTAATGGCTGAACTGCTGGACTGTTTTGCTCTATAAGTACAGTGTTTTCTCGCCCTGTTCATTTGAGATGCAAATTGCGCTGAGATAAAATTGAGTTGTAATGGAGTTGAGCTGCAGGCTTACTTGCCAGTACTTTTCTTAGGCGTGCCTATTAGGAACATAAATATTTAACACAAAGGAGAACTGATATGAATTAGCATCTGTGGGAGGTTCGCGCTTATTCAAGACTACCCTAGCACAGATGTAAGCAAACGTTACAACAGCTGAAGCAAACTGGCCCCACCAGAGCAGCACTTAGACGGTGAATCATCCAGGTGCTCTTTACACACCGCTGCTAAATGGGCAGATTAGAGTCTGCGAAATAGAGATTAGACAATCACAGAGCACCGGCCTTCCTTTTCGGCAGTGTTTTACCATTCCCTGCGGCGCTGGCTGAGATGCCAGGTAGAAGCAAATGCAAGGACGGGCACTAGTCAGTGCAGTGCAGATCAGGAAAGCCCTGACCATCTTCCCTTGCCTTCCTCCGAGCAGAGCTAGGTGAGCCTCTCCTCCCCCTCTCCTCCTCCTCCCTCCTTGAACAGGCTGCCCTTTTCCTCCTCCGGCTTGCTTCCCACCAGCAGACATGTAGCTCTCATGATGTTATTTCCTAGGCAGGACTTTGTGGCAACAGTTGCCAAGCTGTTCCAGCTGGGAGCAAAGGTTTCATGCCATGGTCACTATCAGTGTCACCCTGGTCTCCTGCCTTCCCATAATCCTGGGGCTCTTGGTTGAGACAGTAAATCCCTGCTCTTGAATGGCCAGGGATGCTGAACATGCTGACAGTGTCTCCTGATCTTTTCCATGGAGCTGCACAAGTTTTTTCTGGACTTTAAGCATGGAGGTTGTCACCTTTTCAGCTCTGGACCCCCCAGGGAGGTGTTGGGACATGTGACACAGAGGAGATGCACCATGGACTCTGTGACTTCAGGCTAGATCTGTCCTGCAGCCTCCTCCTCTGGCACCACCCATGCTGTGGTCACTGGTCCCCAGCCGAGCAAGAGGCCAGTTCAGACACCTGCCCCATGCTTGAAAGATGTTGGGGCTCTGCTCTGTGTTGGGCACCTCCTGCTGGACCAAAAGCCTTCCCTCAGTTTTAGTAGAGCTAGATGCCTGGTAGCCCACTTGGAAGCAGAGCCCTGAGAAATGCCCTGTGCAGTGAAGGGGAGCTCAGGGCACACTGAAAGCCTTGGTGACACCTTTGTGCTACCTGGCCCAGCTGCATTTCGCCCACCCCTGGGGAACACACGTGCCGCCACCACCCCTCTCCTCAAGGTCCTTCCTTTGTCACAGGGGATAGACTCTTTGGCAGCCTTCTGAAATTCACTCTGGACTGACACAAATCCAGAGGTTGGGCTTTCTATGTATGAAATGTCCCACTGCACAAGGAAGGACTTAGTGTGGACACACCAAACCCAAAATATCTTTGCTCCAGCTCTTTGTTTATTCACATATATTCTTCAGCTTCTGTTGGCCTCTCAGAGAAACAAATCGTACAGTCACAAGGAGATACAAGCTCCTACGACTCATTAAAACTTCTTTTCTCATGCTCTCCCTCTTCACATAATACAGCCCTGGAAATGGGCCTAATTATGATTTATCCTGGATGATTATACATTTCCACTGTATTTCCACCCATTCTGGGTGTAAAAAGAATGCAGGAAGAGGTGAATATTGTCACTAAGTCTTTGGCATCCTTCAGTCTGAAAAGTCCTGTGAGCTGTAATGTTAATTTTCAACATCAGATGATGTGTATTTGATTCAGTTGCCTTGATTTCCAAGGACCTCTGCTTGAAACAGAAATTCTACCATTTGTTATCTGTCTTTATCTGAGCCTATTCATGCTTATCTGAGGTAGCGCTGGGTAGAGTAACAGTGGAACTTGTTATTACCTTATATCCACGTCAAAGACATGAGACATAGGGGATGCTAAATTGCATGGTTGAGCTCTGTCTTGAGCAGTTCCTGTGGAATGAGCTATTCAGAGCAGCCAACCTCTCCCTCCTAAAAATGTCCTGTTGCCTTGTCCTAGGATGAAAGAATAGGTTTCTGTCTGGCCCTTTATTTAAAACCACTCTTACAAAAACAGCTGAATAGGGTAAGAAACAGGCAAGGTTAGAATGCATATTCTTTTTTTAGGTGATAGGGACTATCAAGATACCCACCTTTCCTTTGGGAGGGTGCTAGAGTCTGAATCACTGTACTTTGTTGTGTCTATGAAATAGCCGTCTGGATCTAGGCAAATCCCACCTATCTCAGTCTTTCAGGTGCTTGATTCCCTTCTCTGTGCTCAGGCAAAACTTCCATTGGCAGCTCTGGGTGCAAAAGGCAGTCTTGGATGAATGATTCTTTCTAAAGCTGTTTTCAGTATTTGCAGGGATGTTTTATTAATTTGGCTTTATGTAGTTGATGTGCTACTCTCTCAGAGCTGACCTTCATTTCTGCCAAGAGGGGACTGCACGCTTTTCTTGTGTTTGTGTGTTATGATCCTGTGTGGGCTGGGTTTCACTTTTTATGCCAAGCAAGTGCCAGATGCATGGCCCCATGGGCTAGGGCTTTGCTCTTTTCTGTGCTGTGTCAGCAGAGAGCTATGCTCAGGCATGCAGGAGCCCCCAGGGCTGGGCAGCACAGGGTTTAGCTCACAAAATTATGATGCGCCAACACTGTCCATCCACAGGGGCAAAGTTACATCCCATGTTCTTCTGCTCCTCATTCCCAGTAATAGGGTGGCCTATCTCAATTTACCCCGTTGTCTCCCTGGACCCCTTTCCTACCACAACAGAGAATAACCATGAAAAGCCATCTCAGGAAGGAGACACAACCATGGGGTCTCTTGAGGGTGGGGTGGTATTCTTCAAGGAGTAATCATTTAAAGTGAGGAGACACATGTGGAGACAAAGTGGTACCTGCAGGAGGACTAAGTGTGACCTCGCAGTCCACCCTGGGTTGCAAGGGCCGGATGAAACTCATAAACACACCACGTATGTTTGTGGTGCTGAACGTCCCTCTGGTTTCATGCAAGCCTAGAGGATAATGCCAGTAAGGGTGACTGGAACCAAAAAGGTAGGTTGCTGGTCGTCCCTTGACAGAAGATCCCATGAAGGTCTGGCTTTGTTTCAAAGACCTTAAAGCTCATATAAGGAATCTCACCCCATCCTTAAATGTGGAAGCGTGGGTTGGGTTGGTTGGTACCTGCTTGTTTTGACACAAGTTAGGTGTCTTTCAGCAAAGGTGTGTCATCCAATATACACAAAGGGTGAGCTTCCCTTGGAGCTCGAGAAACATACCTTCCCCTTGAATATATTGGTTGCATCTTCCCAGGCCACTGATGGAAATACAGTCACCTATGGAGCACCACACTTAGGTCCAGGTCATTTCATTTGCACTCTGAAATGTAAACCTGTTTTTTTTCCAGAATTTCAGGTTTTCTCTTCCCAAGTTTGATGTGACACTTGCAGACCTGAACTGGAGAAAAACTGGAACAATCCCTTCCTTTTAATAGTTACTGTTAACCTTGCTGCTTTCCACTGGGAAGTCAATGCTCTGGGAACTGGTTCTCTAGCTGGTCTGAGTGGACCCAGACCAGCACCCCTGCTCTATCACCATCAAATAAGGTCCTGGTAGCAAGGGCTTATTCAACTGCACTAGTTAAACTGTGCACCAGGGAAAACCTGCTCTTTATCTTGTACACATACATGTACACACATATATGCATTCATGTTCATACAATAAATATAAAACTGTCATATGCAGTAGCAAAAATTATAACTCTTAGACTTGTTTTTTGAGAAGGATGAGGCAGGTGGGCACTGGTGCTTGAGTTTAACTGCAGTTTGTGGTATTTGGCTCAGTTCATGCTGACAGATGTGGCAAGCAGGCTCTCGGTGTACAGTGGAAGGTAATGAGCTCCCGCATTCTGAGAGAGGTGATGTGCACCGTGCCAAGCTGGGTTCTCCACTCGGGGGGTTACCACATAGGCCAAGGGGGCAGTAAGTCCCTCCTGACCGAGAGTCACCAGATTTGCTCTAGACCCAATGTCAGGATGTGGGGAACCACCCAGGGAGAGTCCTTCTCACACTTAAGCAGCTAAAACTAAGACATCCATGAGGGTGAATGACTCCCAGCCTGTAACACTCTCTGCTGTCCTTCCTACAGGCTCTTTTAACCCTGCATAGGAAGCAGTGGTCTTTCCTCAGTTTCAGCTGGGAAAGTGCCTTCTTTTGAGGGTCTTTCCCTTCCCAGAAGTTTTTGAAGTGCCAGTGCTCCCCAGGGCTCAGGAGGCTCTTGCACAGGTGATCAACATGCTCTCCTCCCTGATGTCTCAGCTCTAGTTTTACTTGCCTGCAGACATTAGGTTAAATAATGCTCTGTTAAAATGCTGATGTGGGAGAGGATTATAACTTTTTTCTTAGAGGTGATGAGTAATTAGAAGTTATTTTGTGAGAACATTTCTAACCAGACGCTTCTCTGGAAACCAGGAAGAGGAATT